ATTCTAGAATGAGAGAGGCATAACTTGTATTTATTTCCTAATTTTTTATGATGGTTACTAAATCAGTCAAATCTACCAAACCCGTATAAAGTTTTTTCTTTTAAGAAACATTTGATAACTATCTGGACATTACAAAGATTTCACATGAAATATTTGAAAATTTTCTGATGCATAAAAGTATTTTGAATCTTAAAATGAAAATTACTTTGCATGTTAGATAGGCAACATGCAAAAAGAAAAATAAAGGTATGAGAAAAACATTGCTTTACTAACCTTAAGACTTAATAAAACTTTGATATTTTGTGTATGAGAGCATTGTGATATTTACTGATAATGTGCCAAATTTCATTAATATTCACCTACTCGCTTAAAAGTTATAGCATAAAAACTATTAACAAGCACAAAATGGTTATGAGGTCAGTCCCAGGGACTGAGCCCATGCTGAAAGAGCTAGTTGATTTTACATAACTGATGGACTTGTTTATAACCTATCTTGCACATAGTTGTATAGTTTTCTTGACATAAACTGCCAGTCAACAGAATATGTGGTGGTCGTATTTTGGTGCTCCTTATACTAAAGGATTTTTCTTAAACTTATTTAGAAAGTTGGATAAGTTATAGTGGTTTGCTGACATTCTATTCCAATGATTGATTTTTGTGTGTGTGTGTTATAAAATGCATTATTGAATGCTACATAAACTCTTTTTGGATAATTTGTTAAATTCCTTATGGCTTATGGAAAAACATCTGAAAATTTTAGTGGAGCACAAAAGTAATACCAATTCATGTTTCTATGTGTATATATTATTAAGAAAAGTAACTGAATTATAAAATTTAACACCTTTCAGCTTAACAAATCACCAGTAAAATAAAACATCTAAAGTTTCATTAGCTCCAGCATTAGTGAAACATCACGCTCAACAACATAAGTGTTGTTTACGATAGCTACTGGAAACAGCTAATTGTGGGTTATTGCTTTTTACAAGAGTATTACAGCAATACAACCATAAAAATTAAAGGGAAAAATTAAAAAACTTTTGATATTCATTTAGAGGTCATAGAGGTTATACAAATGAAATAAGATGAATGTAAGTATTTTTATTTTTAGTATGAAAATCAGTTATCACTCAGATTCAGTAAAAACTTCAGAAATGGACAGAAATATTTAGTAAAAGTACCTTATTACAAAAGAAATCGGAATTTTTGTGTATAACAGTTTTGTTATGTTTACTAAAAAGCTTGTCACGTTTTGTGTAGATACACGTAGTACATTCAGAATTATAGTAAAGATGAGTATGTATAGCCTTATAGATACAGGTTTTTTTAACTTGACTGAGCCTGTTGTTTTCCACTTTTTTTTTCTTCATAAATATGTTTATTGGTTTATTAAGAGGTAAAAGTGAATACGTGTCAGTTTCATTTTGTATGAGTACTAATAAGGCAATTAGTAATTGGTCACTCTGACAAGCAGTGGTTATTCATAGCGAAAAGGTTAGATATGTTTAAATTTCATTGCTCAAAGTGCAGCATGCTGTTTGTATTAGTTGGGCATAATTGGTATAGTATTATATAATATTTAAGGTTTCTTAAAGTTCACTTGAATACAAACTGCCCCAATCAGTAAGTGAAAAGTTTTCAAGCTCAGGTTTTGAGAGATGTGTATTGAATCACTTGTACAACAAACAATAATTACACTATTTAACCAAAAGTACTGAAACTTGTTCATTGAAACGAAATGCTATACTAACAATAATGTTATGGAGATCAGTTATCAATCATTGTCATAGTAATAGCCTGTATGTAAACTGTACGATCTGCTGCCATCTTCAGGAAATTCTGAGGAGGACTGTTTCTGTGATGGTAGTGGTCATATTTGATCTTGGGTCATCTTGGTAGAAAGACTGGTGTACTATCCACTTTTATTGGGTTTCTTCTATTAGGACTTGAACCAACTATTTGAGTACTTTCAGGAGTAGTATCCAAATTCTGCTAATTTCTGTGATAGGTAGCCTGAGTGTGTTATGTGTTAGATGGAGGTAGAAGACATCTTTTACTTCTTTTTCTTGTGTGACTTGGGTCCCATTAGTTATAGTATTATTCCAGTTTATTTATTGTATGTCTTTCTCTGGCATGATGGGCTACTGCAAACAGATTGGTATTACAGAGTTATTCTTATTTCTCTATTGTATTGAGATCACATTCCCAAGGGATGTTATAATGGTCTTTCTACTCTTTAGTGGTTGGGTTTAGCTTCTGGAACCACATTATGAGAGGCTTACTAAGGAGTGGACCTGCTTTCAGTATTAGTTACAGCCTTGACTTTGTTATGAACACTTGACACTAACCCTTGGTAGAATAGATCATTTCTCTTACAAAGTTACTTCATATATAGTGAACTTTTGGTAACTAGCTTTTCTGTTAATCCAGCAACATTTTGAAACATCTTAAGGCAATTAATTTGAATTCAGCAAGACAGATTTTGGATGTTATTGATTTCAACCACTGCTCTTCACATTTTATAGTTGCCATGCTAAGTTATTATACTCAAACAAAATGTATGGTCATTTCTCATAGAAGTCATTAATCTAAGCAGAGCAGTACTTTTCAGAATATCTTGGTGAAACAAAGCCCAAAACAGACCTGCATCATCACACTTTTCTCACTAGTTTCACTGAACTTGTCTAACTAAAACAAAACATTTTAAATACAAATAATTTGGGGTATTGTCTGCATGTTATTGATGTGTATATGTGTGTGTGTGTGTGTGTGTATACATATGTGGGTAAGATATGTGTTAGCTCATACTTAAACTTCTGGTGAAGTAAGATGTAGCAGTTTGTTTTTATAGGTGTGCGTGCATGACAAAAAGAAAACGTTTTAGATAGATCTGTTAAAATATTATCTACATAACATATCAGTATATAAGATTAGCAATGTAAACTACTTAACGCACATCAAGCAAAACTCAACATTTGGTGTTGCTTGAGTATTTTTGGAGTTTCTTGAGTTTTTCATTAGATCAATCAAACCTATTAAATTTTGTTTTTCTTATTGCTAAATACTTTTTGTATACGCGTACTTGTTAGTTAATTTTTCTAGAATATCTTAACTACTATACCAAGTCTGAGTAATTTTTTCAGTGTAAATGATATTAACTCTACTTTTATTTTTTTAATGTAATTTTGTATATTTTTTCAGGTTGTTTGTTTTAAATAAATTTCAACACCTTTTATTATTGTTACTTGTACTACAGATGGAGAAGCATCCAGTGGACCATCCAGTCTTTCTGTCCCTCTTGCAGAACACCAATTATCATCATAACAAAACCTGCATGGCATTGTTGTTGTTCACAAATCCCTTGTACAGTTTTTTCACCTTACTGGAGAGCAAAATTCCTGTTGCTTTGTACATAATTTCATTACAACCTAGTGGTATCCTAGTCTAGGTTTTAAACAAAAGACGTTTTATATCTTTGATGAAAATATGTACTCGCCAGGGTACAGTTTGGTTCCTGATGTCAAACAAGAACAGTTATTGGATGTATTTAGTCTACTGAGAGTTGACTACTTGAATGTGACAGGTTATGTTACAGTACATCTTCATTCACTAATTGAAATTTGAATTTTTTTTTCATCTGTTTGTTTTTGTGTGTGTGTATTTACTGCACTGTAAATAATATATAAACATATCTATCATGTGTATATTGTGCAAATAAGCATTGAGTTTGCAGTGAAAAAACACAACTTCCCCAGTAAAGATCAGATAACTGAAAAAAGAAATTATCCACTATGATGTTTGCACTGTGTAATGAAAAGAAAATTAAGTTAAAACAAATATGAAATTTAAAAAGAACGTGTGATATTCCATTACTCCCAAACCTGTTGCAAGTAGTAGTGTAATCCAGAATAAACCTAATGATACTAGTAATTAATTATTATTGAAATCCTTTTGTTTTGAGTTTTTGTTTTATAATATAAAAAACATATCATTATTACTTAAATTTTAAAGGACATTTCTAGATAGTTTTTATCATTAATGTTTTTTTTTTATCAATTCACCAAACTTAGCAATGTTTAAAAATTATCTGGAAAGGTGAAGTTAGAAATGATTTGAGTCGCTCTGTTGATGGTGTGCTTTGTATTTTTGTAACCTGGCAAACAATGTTATTCAATCTGAGATACACAGGTTGAAAAATTCGACTAGCATTGTCACTGGAAATTCAAACATTTTGATTCACGCAATTAAAGGGTTTATAAGTTACTTCTAGCTGTGAATGGTCCCATCTGGAAGTCTCCTTATAATCTGTTTTAGCACTGAGCCCAAATTACAAATGTTTAATCAATTTGATATCAGTTTTCAACTCTCAGTAGGCTCTTTGTGGTCAAATAATGAATGAATGAAATTAATAATTTATGTATTTTTATAATGAGATTTTCAACGAAAAAAACAACCAGTTTTATATGTCATCTTTAGGCCAGAAACCTTTTGAAATTGGATTTTATAATATAATTCTCCTCCTTTCTTAATAGCAAAGGAAACATTTACAACACATGCAACTACCATAACATATACATGTTTTAAAATTTGTCTTTAATTGTTTAACAATCAAGAGTCCACTAAGACCCTACCTGCCAAGACTTTCTTTTGTTAAAATGTTAACTGTTTTAATGGCTTTTAGATTGATTTTTTAATATATTTTTACATCAAGGAGGATATTCCTCCATTCACTTTTAGACAGACTTCTTTCTCTGAAATTCCAGGTAGATATTTTTTAATAACAATGTTATGACTGTCTTTTGGAATTTTGAATAGACTATTTTAAACAGTGTTTGGTCTTAAATTGGAAAGTTCTAGATGTTATGTAGGTATTTCACTTCACCCCTTTCTGTGTTTTCATCATGTGAGTCTATGCTTGAGAAAGTAAGTTGAAATTGTTCATATTTTTCTACTTGTGTAAAAACTTTCAACTTTTTTTTTATTTTATGTAATATTTACCATTGTTTCTGTTGTCCCGTAGAAGAACAGGTGAAAATGTGGATAAACAGTTGTTTTTGATATTGTAATAGTTAATTAAGTTTAAAGAATTATCTACATGTGGCATTACAACTAGTGAAAGTTGAAATGTTAATTTATCTAGACAACTTGAGCCAACACACGTCTTATATTAAGGGCAGAGAACTAGAAGTACGTATAAGTTCATCACACTATATATTTTTCAGTGTTCTGTAGTGATCAGAACAGGTTAGTCAGTATGGAAACACTACATGATTAGAGACTCGAACTTGGGTCAGTAAGGTATAAAACGAAATTTAAACACATTGTGGATTTGAGCATTACATTTCTGTTACTTTGTTCAATATGTTACCGATTTTTTGCAGTGTATTCAGTTTCTGTAATAATTGAAGTACAATATCCACATGTTTTGATTATTTACAAAATGGTCTGCAAATATGTTCCAGTAATAAATAAATAAATAAGAACTGGACTTGGTTGAAACAGTTAAGTGCGTTTCTAATTCTTATACTTGTATGTTGATAATTTTGAACAAGATAAGTTTGCGAATGAAAAACGTGTAGAAGTTTTAAAGTTTTACATTGTTATTGTTTTATTTACTGGTAGAAAAGTATCCAATATAATTACAACAGTTTTTAAGCACGGTGACTATTTTACCAACTGATTTTATCAGTTTCTAAAAAGTTTTCAAAATTTCAGATGTGAAAAAAAAGAATTAAAAGTTTACTCTATGTTTAACCGTATGTCCTCTGTCCTCGTAGTTTCTATGTAAAAGAAATGAAATTTGTATTAAGGATCAGTAAGAATCTATGAATGTTCTTTTTTGTATAATTAGAAAAGAGATTTCTTTTGTTGTTTTGGTACTTCCTAAGGAGGAACAAGTTATTAGAAACGTATAATCAACTTTAGAAATTTATTACATAAAGTGAAATAACAAACGTAGAAATAGCTTGATTGATATACCAAGTTTAGAAGTTTATTACATAAAATGACATACCAAATGTTGAAACAGGACACTTGGTAGATATATCAAATTTAAAAGTTTATTACATAAAATGTTGAAACACCTTTACTTCTACAATTAACACTCCCCCCTCCCCTAAAAACAATTTTTTTTTTGGCGCGCACAATTCTGTGACCACAAAATCTCTGGAATATTTTATAGCCAGTTATCTACTCTGAAAACAAAATAAAAGTTTAATTCTCAGTCCTTTAAATTAACAACAAAAAATACGAATTGGAAGTTTATTGTGTATTGTTTATGATGCATGAAGTACCTAAAAATAACACATGATGCGTGATTTTAGAGGTGAAAGGTTGGTTTTAAAACTTTCGTACGAAACAGTTGTGTATGCTAATTTGATAAACGTTTAATGGAAATGGCCTTCTTATTTATTAGTACGTTGAAAATGTAAAGTCATGTCAGTATATGTAAATAAATAGTTTCTTACAACCACAAACAAACGTATGAGTGCTACAAACTTACCTTTGACATAAAGTATTGTAACGTGATGGTTTTCGTTGTTTCACATCCTTAAGAGTTTTTACAATATATGTGTTTTTTGCTTTCTTGTAAAAACCAATAACAGATTTATTTTATTTTTTTAATTTGCATAGTACGGATTTTGAATGAAAGATTTATAAAAATAAATCGCTGTGTAAGAGCCCTTTTGTTTAGTATCGGAGCTCGTCAGCTGGGTTGTCTGATCGGAGACTATACAATACAAGAAGCACATTGCAGTAATATAAACGCATGAACTAGAATTTCAGACCAGTGTTTCTGCTACAATAAACTTTTTTTTTATCATTCTTAATATTTTCTCTATACATCTTTAATTTTTTTTTATTTGATATGTCTAAATTCCATAGATGTATTTCTTCCTTGATTTTTGGTTTCTGTCGGTTGATATTTTATTTTATTAGATTATATCCGTGAAGTTGACGTGTCATAACAAGAACTTCCATAGAATAGTCATGAATTTACACTTGTAGGAGCAATGTAGAATGGCATATATGTTTAATAATTCTTAGACAAACTGTTTTCTTTAGAAATTCGAGAGACACGATGTGTGACAGTCACTTAAAAACGAACTTAATTTCCACAACACTTCGCGTCTTTAATAATCAAATAAAACGAATGTGTTAACGACTTTTGAGTACTACTTGAAGAAGGGTCTCTGCGCGATATTTTAAAACTTAAAATTAGTTCCAAATGGATTTTATTCAGCGTTTCTATTATTTTTCTAAAGAATACAGTTTCTTAAATTTTTATATGCTTCCTCTTCCCCTTTTTATTTAATGGAGCAGTAATTTACCCAAAATGTATGTACATCTTAACATAAAAATGTCGTATATCAGAAAGTAATTCAACTATAATTTTTCTCAATAATATGTTTTAAATTAATATTTGATCATTAAAAACAAACTACAAATTGAAAATTCTAATGTTAAATGCCCAACAAAACTACTGCGCTTTATGAAGTGATTAAATTTCTTTGACGGTAGTTGAACTATAGGTAGGTGTAACAGTTGAAAACTACAAGGTTTTACCCTTCCGTGTTTAGAATAGAATATCTTAGGTAAGAGGCGATTCAAAAGCATGGTCATGCAAGCACAATCTCTCTTTAATGACCAATATTGTAGGTAATCTTGGCACAGGACGACGATTTAAGCAAGCCAACGACTACCTGAATTCTGTTTATATGGGCGTGACTATTCGTAGCACAACTGCGTAAGAAATTTTGAAAAAATTTTGAATATACCTTAGTGAAGGTGTGGTGCAGAGATTTGTAAAGGTTGTTATGAACTAGGAGCTAATTTCCCTTTGAATGTAATGAGAATGACCGCTAACTAAGATTGTGGGATAGCGCACTAGGACCTTGTTCTCATAAAGAGCATTGTATTAATAATACAATCAACTGTTTTGGATTTGGATTTTAGTCAGAGCAATAATGTGTATTTTACTTTTCTACAAACATTTTTTTCGAATCTCCTGCACTGTAGTTCTTAAATGTTGGCCAAATGTACTTGGTAAACCATACAGTAAACAGTTTATCTAACAGTGTTGATTGTGGAATTTATAATCTGGTAGAGCAAAATAGTATTTTTATTAGGGTCAAATTGAATACGGCTAATAGTACCATACTCATTAAATAATTTTACACATAGACTACTGTACTGGATTCGAGACATCTGTGGACTAGATCTGCCTTAAAAAAATTATGGACGACGTTTCGAATTGTTGGCAGATGCAGTTCAAAAGTCTCAAATCAAGTACGTCTTTTCTGCTTGAATTTGCTTCTAAACAAGAAAAAGGACTATTGTAGTCTTCGTACAAACAGGTGATTTTTTTGACATTCTGTTTGGAAAAAGAAATATTCTTCGTTTTTTTATTTAAAGCAAGAGTGTTGTGTGGATACCCTTGTTCTAAGTAAAGTTAATCTTCTACTGTAGAAGTCGATAAAAACGAAAAAATTAAATAGACGGGAAGGGTAGCAAAAGTTAGCCAGGCCGCATTTTTTGTTTACTTGGGGTAAAGCAAAATACGCGGCCTAGATAATTAATGAATGATGAATACTTACTGTAAAATTCTTATCAATGCTGTAATGTAGCTACCAGTTTGGCTGCCAATATTTATTTCATTCCTTTAACTCGCATACATAATCCGTTTTTGGCCACAACTTTTTTCACACCTAAGCTGTTTTTTAAGTAGATATGATTTTTTTTGTCAATACACACCAACAAACCACAGCAAGTAAGAAAGTGACACTCGATTGTAACGCACTTTAGGATAGCAACCCTATTATTTGGAACAGACCTTTACTTTACAGAACCAACCAGATCCTTTAAAATATATGGTGGTAGTTTTCCCTCTCTAAAATAATGTTAATAGCTTCCTTTATAGTAACGCCATGGAATTTAGATTAACAATGTCTTATCATCACCCGCATGCACTCAGTACAGCCGTATTTATGCTAATTGTTTGAGGTAATATAACGTGACGTTAACCGCTCTTTAGTTAGAATTTCATAAAATTTAGCAAATTTGTGCTGAAAAGTTTTCAATGAATAATAATGATGCGTTTGAAAACTTGAGTTATAAACTGCTAATCCACTTTGCTTGGCTTAACCAATACTTATGTATCTGCACGTTCTTTCACATTGTACTTTTGGTGTCTTTAATCCGAATGAGAAAAAACTTAAAAACGGTCCGCTATTACTCTTAGGTGAAGCTGTATTAAAATGTTAGACCGATAGCTCACGTCACTTTTTGCGTAGGCGTGCGCAAAAATTTTCTTCAAATTTAGCGTTTTTTGTTAAATAACTTTGCACATGTGGCTTATATTTATACCAAATGAGACTCCTAATTGTAGGTTGAAATATCTATCAGTGTACCAAATTTGAAAGGAGAAAAAAAAAAACATAAAAGTTAAGTATATTTTTTCTATAAGATAACGTTTCCGTACTTTTGGTGCAAAGGAAAAAAAAAGTGGGAAAAACTCAATCAAAATTGGAGATGTTATATTTCAGGTATTTCTTAATGAATTTCCTTAAAATTTAATATGTGAAGTAAGAGTGCAGTAGAGCACACCCACGTAAAATATATGATAGTTTGGATTACCACAATACGAGACACAGAAGGTGGAAAATCACTAAACTATCGCTCCTGTTAATAACACTGTATGTCATGCAGCAGAGTGATTAGTTTGACCTCATGTCTGTGTCCATTCACTAGGGCTTTACAAGCCCATCTGGAGTGGTGATACACGTAATTTGCAAATTGGTATATGTATTTGGAATAGTAATTGATATTGGTAATCTATGAATTATGAGATACCACATTAGGGTCACTTTGTTAAACGTGAAAGTGCAGTATAATATTATTATTTTTTCGTGCTCTTGTTATGTGCAGCAGTTTAGGAAATCCTCTCTACAGCCCCAACAGTTGGCTGTACTCATTCAGTGAAAGAAACTGGCCACCATATAAAATATATAAATGTTGTTGTATAAATAATGAACCCAGTCTTAATTGCACATTGCTGTATTTGTGTTCCTTTGCTGTCTGTGTTCAATTTATTCTCTGTATATCATTTCCTAAATATTTTTTCCAGTATTGGATATTAGTGTTCTTAAATACCATAGTAGTAATAGAATAGTATGCAACAAGACATATCTTAGAAACAAATGGTTATTTTTTAACATAGAGCTACAAGTTTTTTTTGTTGTTTTTTTTATATAGAAAATATTTTTACATTCTGAGGCGTAGCCTGGTGGTTATGGTGCTCGCCTCGCAATCTGCGAGATCAAAACCCGTACACAACATACTTGTCGTTTGAGCCGCAAGGGCGTTATAATGTGAATAACAATCCCACTATTCGTTGGTAAGGAAAAGTCCAAGAGTTGGCGCTGTGTAGTGAAGACTGACTGACTGCTTTCCCTTTAGTCTATCACTTCAAAAATAGGGACGGATAGCGCAGATAGTCCTTGAGTAGCTTTACGCGAAATTCAACAAAAATATTCTGAAACTCTCTTTCCTGTAATGTTTTGTTACTTGTTGACACGCTATATTCAGTAGCAAAATAATGAATAACAATCCACTGTTACTTAGTGGTCAAAGTAAACGTGAATGTTTGTCCAGAGTCAATAAACTTAAGCAACTTCTTTTACTGCATGTTTCACGAGGTAAAGCCTATCATGATTCTGAGTTAAACTTTGTTACTTGGTGCAAAGCTACACAGTGTACTATTTGCGTTCTGTCCCGCCATGGGGAATTGAAAGCCATAATTTAGCGTTGTAAATCCGAAAACGTATCCCTTACCCACCGAAAGGACAGAAAAACTAGCCAGTAGTAACTTGTGTTTGAGGATTTTGATGTGTTTGAGTTTAAGGATTGGAGAAATTGTAATCTTTAGAACTTTCAACCTTTAGTAAAATATATTCTCTGTCACAAAAACTAATTTCTGAGCTTTTCCTTTTATTGTATTTCAAAGATGATGATGTAAGTAGTAATATGTGAAAATAAGAGTAAATGAAAATAATACTGTAAGAGTCATGTATATGAAAATAGGCGAACTGAGATATCTAACCCGTTTAAGCTGGATGACTGTGTAATGTTGTGTAACATGTCTGTGCCGTTATATCCGTTTTATTCTCCTCATGATTTTGTATGGTTAAAGCTATTGTTGTGCTTCAACTTTTCCAAAGTGCAATTGTTTTGTTATGTCTTTTTACAATAAGCCTTTCTCAAGCATCTTCACTGTTAAATATTTCATAAACTCTTGGGGTTTTTTTTTTTGTTAGTTTTATACTTCGTAGTTTTAGTGGTACTTAGAACTGGATATATAACATCTAGTTTTAAGTAACAATAAAAACTACGAAGTATAATGAAAATCATGAAATCGTATATAGTTGTAACAATGAATGAGGATTATATATGAATATACCATGCATTTATAT